TGAGGTTCAGAATCTGCCAAAGGACATTGTTTTGTTTTTGAAAGTTTGAGCAATTTCTACCAAAAAGTGAAGTCCAGATACTATTCCTGCTGGGAAAAATCTAGTCACCACAGGTTTCATGGACTCCAAGGCCAGAAGGGACCCCTGATCATCTAGTCTGACCTCTTGTAGAGCACAGGCCAGAAACTTCCCCAAAAGAATTTCTTCTGAAGTAGTGTATCGTTTAAAAAATCCATCCAACCTTGATTTAAAAGTTGCCAATGATGGAAAAATCCACCACAGCCCTTGGTCAAATTGCTCCAGTGGTTGATTACCATCACAATTAAAAATGTATGTATTATTTCAAATCCAAATTTGTCTAGCTTCAGCTTCCAGACATTGGGTCTTGTTATACCTCTGTCTGCCCATTTAAAGAGCCCATAATCAAATTTCTGTTCCCCATGTGGTACTTACAGACTTACAAGTCAATCATTAACCTTCTCAGCGTCAAGCTAAATAGATTGAGCTCCTTGACTCTCTCACTATCAGGCGTGTTTTCCAATCCTTCGATCATTCTTATGGCTCTTCTCTGAACTTTCTCCCATTTATCAACATCCTTCTTGAATTGTGGGCACCAGCACTGCACACAGGATTCCAGCAGCAGTCGCACCAGTGCCACATACAGAGGTAAAATAACCTCTCTGTTACTGTTCAAGATTTCCCTTTTTATGCCACCCGAGATCTCATTAACACTTTTGGCCATGGCATTGCACGGGGATCTCACGTTCAGCTGATTGTCCACCATGACCCACAAATCTTTGTCAGAGTTTGAGACAATTACAGCAGAAAATCTCCTGGACATCTTCTCCTTGTTGGGTGCTGAGACACTGTCCTCTCCTACCCTTTTACCACGAGCCCTGTTGGTGGGGTTGCCCCCGTCCCTCTCGGGGGTTCCCAGAGCTCTGCCCTTTGGTCATCTCCCTTTGTTCCCTGGACAGCCTCACAGGCCGCAGCTCTCGTCTGCATGCTGATGGCT